AGGGTGTAAAGGAGATTTACCAGGATGGTACGAGGAATGAGGGACTTCAGTTATCAGGAGAGACACAAAATTATTTTCCTTGGAGCAGAGAAGGTTAAAAGGAGACTTAATAGAAGTTTTGAAAATTATGAGGGGCTTCGATAAGGTGAATAAGGAGAAACTATTTCCACTGGCAGGTGAGGTCGGTAACCTTTGGTACTGATTTAAAATAGTTGTTAAAAGAAACAGAGGGAAGGCGAGGAGAATTTTTTTCGCACAGCGAGTTGTTTGGATCTGGAATGCATTGCCTGAAAGGGTGGTGAAAGCCAATTCGATAACAACTTTTAAGAGAGAGGTAGATAATTATTTGGGGAGGACAAATTTGGAGGACTATGGGGAGTGACATTGATTTGGATAGCTCTTTTCAAAGAGCTGGCACAGACATGATGGACTGAATGGCCTCCTTCTCTGCTGTATAATTCTATGGTTCCATGACTGGAGAGTCTCAAGCAAATTGTTATACCCTCTGATGTTGTAAGCACTCTTAGATCTGATTTGTATTTTTAAATAAAATTGGTTCCTAAAAGTATTACTGGGAATCTCAGTTGTTCTGTGGTCCAGTGCAGCCTCTAGTGGTGAATAATATGAAGTTAAATAATTGTTTTTTATATCTAAACTCAGTATTTTCAGACCTATAATCAGATCTACAACATCAGAATTTAGGTGATGGAGTTGAATATTCACCCACTTTAATATTTTTCATTTAGATCCATTTTACTTTATTTTAAGTAGAGATTCATTTGGAATAGGTTTTATTAGTTTGTAACATTCGTTCAAGCAGAAAATATCATAATGTTTAAGTCATATTTGGTTCAAATAGTCCCCTTATGGAAACATACTTATGTAATACTAATCCTTCCATTTAATATAGCACCTTTCACATCAGGGGGATGTCTCAAAGCTCTTCATTGGATTTACTTTAAAGTAAAGTGACTATGTATTTGTAGACAAAATTGGCAGCCAATTTATAATAATAATCCTTGCATTTGATTCAATATCTTACAACAAGTACAACTTGCATTTATATAGTGCCCTTCACGTGGGATTGTGTCCCGGAACGCTTGACAATGATGGCATCTGACACCAAGCCAGGGGAAAGGGAGGTGGGGTAAGCACAATCAAAAAGGAAGGTCCTTAGGTGGGATTTGAAAGTGGGGAGGGAGGGGGCAAGGCAGAGGGATTGAGGGAGTTCCAGAACCTAGTGGCTGAAGGCACGGCCATGGATGGTGGAGCGGAGGGGCAAAGGACAAACAGTTGGCCGGAGCCAGCCGAGCGGAGACAGTGGGTAGTGGAGTGGCAGGTAAGCAAATCGGATAGGTAGGGAGGTGCAAGGGTATGAAGGGATTTGAAAACGAGTGAGAGGATCTTGAAATCGATCCATTCTGTAATTGGGAGCCAATGGAGCCTGGCAAGGACTGGTATGATGGGGATGCAGAGTTTTGTGCGGGTGAGTATCTGGGCAGTGGAGCTCTGAATAGTAATAATAATGCATATTGTGTATGGTGGAGTTGAGGAGACCAACAAGACCATTGAAATAGTCCGTCCTGGAAGTGACAAAGGCATGGATGAGGGTTTTGGCTGCTTTGGTTGCGAGGTATGGACAACGATAGAAAAAAGAGGTTCTGATCTTATGGAAGTTTTGCATAGGCATTAAATGCATGGTCCCATCTGATAGAACTTATGTGAGGCTGACTGTAGCTCCAACATCAGTTCGATTGGTGAATGACTTCCTTCTGTGCTGTATGTTCTATGATTTAATCTGAGGTATTTGGGAGCTTTATATTTTGTTTTATGTCAAAAAGAAAATTACAGCACATTTTAAATATGATAAACACATTTAAATCAGATCTAAAATAGTCATAATTCATTTTTTTTTGTATGAAAATCAGATCTGATCAAGTTATTACTCAAATGCACTCCTCGCTGGTCTCCCCAATTCCACTATTCAAAAGATCCAGCTTATTCAGAACTCCGCCGCCCGCATACTGACCCAGACCAAACACTGTACCCACAACTCACCAGTTCTAGCCAGGCTCCATTGGCTCCCCATCACCAAACTGATCAACTTCAAGATCCTCACACTCGTGTTCAAATCCCTTCACTCTCCGGCACCTCTCTACCTCTTCGACTTCTTCACTCCCCATTCCAGCACCCAGTGCCTTCACTCAACTGGCACTGTCCTCCTGCTCTACCCTCGCACCTTCCATGCCACCATCAGTCGCGCTTTCAGCTACTATGCCCCAAAACTCTGGAACACTCTCCCTCAATCCCTCCGCCTTGCCCCCTCTCTTCCACTTTTCAAGTCCTGCCTGAAAACCTTCCTCTTCAACTGTACTTACGGCCACCTCCCCCACCCGGCTTGGAGTCAGGCTGCACAACTGTTAAACGCTCAGAGACACTACCCTGCGTGGAGGGCGCTATAAAGTGCAAGTTGTTATTGTTCTTGAATGCAAAGCAAGAGCACGTATTTGTAAATCACAAAAAAGAAAGTCATTGAGTATGAATCATACAAACCTGCTCTTTCTGAACTATATTAATGATCTGGACCTGGATATAGGGAGCACAATTTCCAAATTTGCAGATGATACTAAGCTAAGAAAAGTAGTTAATGGTGAGGAGGATAGCACCAGACTCCAAGAGGACTTAGACAGTTTGGTAATATGGGCAGAAATGTGGCAGGTGAGGTTTAATGTGGAGAATGTGTGAAGTGTTGCATTTTGGTTGGAAGAATGAAGAGGGACAGTATAAGCTAGATTGTACAATCTTAAAGGGGGCAAATGAAGAGAGACCTGGGGGTCCACATAAGCATATCTCTGAAGGTGGCAGGACAGGTAGATAAAGCTGTTAAAAAAGCATACGGGATACTAGGTTTTATAAAGAGGAGCATAGAATTCAAAAGTCAGGAGGTTATGTTGAATATTTATAAAATGCTGGTTAGGCCTCAGTTGGAGACTGGGTTCAGTTCTGGGCACCGCACTTTAAGAAAGATGTTAGGGCATTGGAGAGGGCGCAAAGGAGCTTTACCAGGAATGAAGGACCTTATGAGGAGAGGTTAGTGAAACTAGGACTATTCTGACTTGAGCAGAGAAGATTAAGAGGTGATTTAATAGAGGTTTCCAAGATCATGAGAGGATTTCCATTGGCATGTGGGTCAGTAACCTGAGGACACCGATTTAAGTCAGTTGTTAAAAGAAAGAGGGGACGTTAGGAAAAAAAATTTCACCCAGCGAATTGTTCGGATGTGGAATGCATTACCTGAAAGGGTAGTGAAAGCCGATACAATAACAACTTTTAAGAGAGAAGTAGATAGGTATTTGGGGAGGACAGGATTGCAGGGCTATGGAGAGAAAACGGGCTAGCAGGATTGAGTTGGATTGCTTTTTGGAGCCGGCACAGACACAATAGGCTGAATGGCCTCTTCCTGTGCTGTATGGTTCTACAATTCTAACCAAGAGGACATTCAGTGAAATATAAGTGTGCTGCTTCAGATGGTTATGCATGTATTGGCTCCCCATTATTTATTTTCATTTTGTGCTGTTTCAGGTGGCGCAACAGACTGTTTATACCCTGCACTCACCTCTCAAATCTTTTCTTACATCATTACTAATCTTGTTCTATTTCATAACTTTCTTACATTTGCTTATTACATTTCCTCTACATCTAAGTAAATGTGAGAATCCACTGATTACGCAACCAATTTGTATTAAGCTAATTTGATCAAAAATTACAGTATCATTTTTTAATGTTCACTTTGGCTAACCTTAAATGACAAATCCACTTTCAGCAACTTGAGTGCCAAGGCCACAGCTGTCTCCTTGACCACTGTTAATGCTAGTCTGGAGTCTGATCATCTGACAAGGGATTGATTGTTGCTCCAAATTTAGCTCACTTGTTTAGTTTCTCATTTTGCTTACATATAAGTCTGTCGGGGGATGGGAGACAGAAGAGTGTAGTTGGAAGAGGAGAGGACAACACAGGGACTCCAGGCTGGAATTCCCAAAAGGCTGAAAGCATGTCCAATGGTGGGCCTGATTGGGCACTGGACACAAGGCAGGCCAGTGTCTGAGCAGCTGGGCTCGTAGGGTCACATAACACATCTTATGATCTTAGCAAACACAGATTGGAATGCTTGCTGAGAACCAAATGCACTCAGAAGAAAAATCTTGCTTAAGTACCAAACTGCAGTTATTTACTTGTGCAGTTGCTGCAACATCACATGGGCTGCAGATGACTTTACTCTAGTCGTTCCTACTCTCTGCTTTAGACTTGATTTCTGTGTTAGCAATTGACCTGGCTACAGTGAAATCTCTGCAAGCTATCTACTTCCACTACTTATCCAAAAATATAAGCATGTTTTACTCTTAACACTTGCTTCTTCATGAAAATGTTAAATTAAAAGCCAGGCAAGATCTTCATCCTTAGAAAGAAATTCAACCATGTGTAGAAAAAATAATTATTTCAAAGGATTGCTGGGCTAAGTTTTGAGTATGTCAGTTAACATTTTCAGCAAGGAAATCTACACTTATAATGGGTAACCTTACCTTGCTTGCCCTTATTTTGGCACATCATGGGATAAATGTTGTTTACTAAATTGCCTACAAATGTAATTACCCTTTACAGTAAATTATGTGAAGCGCTTGAAGACATTGTCATGATGTGAATGCTTTTATATCAAATGCACGGCTTTATAGGATTATTAAATGCTGTATCCAGGTTTCAGTGGTTCTGAGAAGTTAGAATACTTTAATCAGCATTGCACATTTTTACTATTAAAAGGAAGTGCCACTTTAATATGCACATCACACAAACTTATGTGGATAGATTGGTAAACATTTAGTGAGGGAACAAATCTTAGGGTAAACTGAACACTAAAGAAAAGCTAATGAATTGGAAAGAAAGTGGAAAATGGAAATAGGCAAGAATATTTTTGAAAAAATAAGTAGTGTTGAAGGAAACGTTAGTAATTTCAGAAATGTTTAATCCAAATAAATATATTTTGAACTTTGTATAATACATATGTACAAAAACTAACCTTGCAGCATATTGTACTAATGTTTTGTTTTAAACAAAAGGCAACAAATGGAAATAGATAATATTTTCCAGCTATACCACACAACAGTTCACTAAAGACATTTAAACAGTTAACTGGAAATATCTAGACTAGATAAAAGGCCTCAATCACATAAAACAATTTATGAAGAATCCTTTACACGGGTCCTTGAAGTATAAAACAGAAAAGCTAACATCATACAGTTTTCAATCACAATGAGGTAGCGTACCAAGTACAACTATAATCAATGTAAACTGATCTGGAGTTCTTACATATTACAGTGCACAATAGGTCTATTTTAGAAGTTAAAATACTCAATGCCAGATCCCTTTTGATTATTATGTATTGCAACATGGTAAAGACTAACAGCAATTCTTTTTCCAGTATTTAGTGTGAAAACCGAAACATTCTACAGTGAATTTGCATTTTTTTAGAATTGTTGTGTCGACAATGATTTTGTGGTGCCAATGCAATCACAGTTACAAGTACATTGTACGAGTGTAATTTAATAGTGCAACAATCCTAAAAGCAATCCTATTTGCACTATAAATATTCTCTGCATTTGTAGATTTGCATTTTATCCACTGTACATCAGAAACCGTAACCAAGATAAGCACAAATTTTAATTAAATCTGACATATCAAGGGGTAATCTTTTATTGTGAACCATATTCCTGTAACAAAAATAGTATCCTAACTTTTAACTTCAAGAACCAGTGCATAAAGCTTAAGGTATCAAAGCAAGTAGTGTCAAATTGTATATGAAATTGTATAAATTCAGCAAACGTGTTACAACACATTAACAATGGATCATTGTGGTAAATTACCATACAGTAAGATGGCACATTTTTAAAAAATAATATTGCAAACCTGGACAATTCACAGTAGCTCATTTGATTTTTTTAAGCATGTGCTGATGTCACATATATTCCACAAACATTCAAGTGTTCAACATTTAAATACTACAATTAGGCTTGTGGGGGGTTCATACACAATCTGAATAGTCAATTGGTTGTGTGTTAATGATCATGAAGACCAATACTGATCTGACTGAACAATGTGGAGTTAATCTGTTACAAAATTTAAAGGAAAGAGAAAATATAAGGAGCAAATAAATGAAGATCAGGAGGCAGAAAATATAAATAACTGGGATGAGTTGGGGAAGAAAGCATCAGTTCATATACATTTTCCTGTATCAATTAAAGAGCTTCCTTTCTACAGCTAAAAGGCTCATAACACAAATTATAACATTTGTGTTAACAAGGCTCAACTATTACAAACTGAAGGTTTATTTCAATGATAAATGAGAAGTCAAACAATTAAAAAATTAGAATAAAGGAGGTACAACCAATATTAGATTTACCAGTCATCAGTACACCGGTCAAGTGGAAGCACATTGGTAACTTTTTAAAAAACTCGCAAAAATAATTTCCACCAGTAAATACCAATAATTGGGATGAAGAGCATTAGTTAATATATCGGATAAATAGTGAAATAGAAAAAAAAACTTCCCGTTAATAAAATTGTGCAAAATAAAAGTCTGTCCCTTCCAGTTTAACATTAACTTTGTAGTGAGGGTTGTATTCATCAATGCTAGAGAAAGCCATTTGACTTTGATTTATTTCAGTTTAGTTCTCACCTCCAGTGTCCTTAAGTGACAGGTCAGTGTAGGCCAGAGCCCTCCCTCCTGCTATTGCTTCCCATAAATCCACCTCACTGCTTGTTCCTGAGCTATGCAAATGGGTTAGAGGAAGCCTCTTCCCTGAATCCGCAGCTCAGATCCATAAAGGAAAACATTTTGCACACAGGTTGTAGCTATAAGCGTGACCTGCATTGGGATCTTGCTGTCCTTGAAAAGGAACACAAGAGTGCCCTTCGCCCCTTCTTTGGATGGTCCTTCAGGACCATGTCCAAACAAAAGTTGGTATCCACTGCCACCCCAGGTACCGATAAGAATCAATAATTGGGCCTCATGTCCCTTGTATCTTCTAATCAATGCCCTTGATATCTTCTCGAGAACAACCACGATTTCACACTTGGGGGCCCCATCTACCGGTCGGCCCAATGTTTAAGATGGCGAGTGCAGCACAGAAGATTCCCAGGTGAGTCTGCCTGCAGCACATTATTGTCTGTCTATTTAATGAAACCATCTGAAATGGTTTGGCAGCAACTATTTATCTTGCATTCCAAATTCTTTTGCATCCACTAGTGAATGAGGAAACCGACCAACATAATTTTACTAAAGCTGCACATAAACTGCACAATTTTTGAATTAGGTGAAACAGGTTGCTGCTTTTTACATATGGACACCAAGGTGTGCTTTGACATGGAAGGCAAAATTTGCATTGCCTAGCAACCACTTCTTTCTACCCCTGGACACCTTCAATTTCATACTGAATAGAACAGGACAGAATATTTTGCAACAATTTTAATATAAAACAAAATAAAACAATTTGGCAACACATAGCATTGCCTTTGCTCACAATCAAGGTTAATCCTGGTTAGTGAACTCCAGAGTCCAAATAAAATCAAGTACAATTCTCGAATAATCAGACAACCCTCTGAGCACATTTTGAATTCAGATTCTGTCATTTCCTCCACTTCATGATTATAATTATATTATTGGATTCCTTAACCATGTAGCGCAAAAAAAACTTTCCCAAATTTGATCACCAATATATTTCTGGGAAATAAATATTTCTTGCTTTTCAGTTTAATTACAGGACTAAACTTTTGTATTTGGCTTTTGATGCTCTAGTCTTACAAACATTTGGAATGCAGCTGTAAATCCCACTATTAGGTTAACAGGAAAGATCAATCATCCATCATCGAGGCCGTCTTCGAATCACAAACAACAATACTCGTCGAATGGCAATAAGGCGATCTTTAAGAGAGGTCATAGCAAGAACAGCTAGCTGAGCCCGACTTTCTAAAGGTAACACAGCCAGTAGCCACCAGCACCAGGCAGGACCATCTGGATTTGACTGTAATGAAAAGAAATGGACATAATGAGCTTCTATTCTTCTCTGCATGCTCAAAATAATGTAAACTCAGACCAGGATATTACTATTAGCTTCAAACTCTATACTAAATAAATCACCCCAGGAAAAACTGTACATTAGTCTGCACAAATACTACACTAAAGGGATGTAAAAGACTACAAAATACCAAAATTTGTTTAAAAAAANGTACAGCCAGAATGCACAATTATTCTAACTATTGTTATAACCTTCAAAAACATCTAGCAGTTGCATAAAGCTTTCTTCTTCATAGGCCACCTGCTCTAGAAGCTTGATCAAATTAGCTCTGAAATTCTCAAAACCCCCCTCTTCATCCATGTCTTCGGTCAGCTTCCTTCCCCCATTAGCCCCAAACCTCCCCGATCCCAATCCCCAGCTCAGCTTCGAAACGGTGATTGTCCAGCGCTTTGGGACATCCTCCTGACGTGAAAGGTACTATACAAATGTAATTTTCTTCTTCTTGTTGCTAGATGGTAGCACGAACAGCATGTGAGAGGCGGAAATTGCATCCAATTGCTCTATGATGCAGCACCACATCATCATTCTAGGCTTTATTTGACTACCCGAGTGGCAAGAAACTTCCCAAACTGTTGCTACAATATGTGCGCATGTGGCTGGAGCTTGACTTTGCTCTTCACAGGATTCACTGCAAGGTATATTTTTGTAGATAAATGCAGCAGCTGATTTGCATACATCAACTGGATACAATGGATTCTTAACAGTAGTTTCAGGCAGGAGTTAAACTATTGGTCCATCTCACTTAACCTTTCAACCTTGACAGATTTCTTTGACAACAAAACTCTTCCAGTCTCCAGGAAGTCCTCCAGTTCCTTTCTAAAACCCTTCACAGCTACTATTCTACCATCTAGTTCTTTCATGGTATCGTGCAAGCACAATTACCTGAGGACTTGGCTCTTTTTTTGGCATTGGCCCAAAGTGATTGAGAATTTGAGTCCTCATGTTGTCCTTGAGAGAATTGAACCAAGTCAAAGCCTGATCATATACTGAGTCATGCAGTTGGACAAGTTCATTATACTCCTCCCCTTCCACCTGTTGGAATGAGAAGGAAAAGCATGTTAAATGATCGTAATGTGAAAATTAACATCCTTATTGGTAACATTTAACCTAAGTTTTGAAGGAATGAAACTAGTTATTCTACATTTTCCAAAACATTATTCATGCTGTAGTTATAATAGACCTTGTTTTTATTAAATTGCTCTCTGATTCAGAGAAAACTATTCATTAAGATTCGAAGCTTGATTATTTGCATTGGTGAATTACAAACTTGGAGATCTTTCTGCAGGTAAATAATCTTTGCATTTGGTATAGAGACTTTCACGTTGGGAGGATGTCGATTCAAGGGTTATTGTGAAGTCCAGTGCCTTAGGATGTCTTCCCAGTGGGAAAGGCGCTATAGAAATGGAAACACACACATGGAGTGAATGACCAATTGTATTTGGGGGATTGTTGGCCAGGACACTGGAAAAAACTCCCTTCTCTTTCAGATTAGCACCAAGGAATCTTTAACATCCCCTGAACAGGCAAATGGGATCTTGTTTAACATCTCATTCGAAGGATGGAACCTCCAACAACTCAACAGCCCCAGGACTATATTGTAATGCGAATTTAGATCATGTGAGTTCCAAATCCAATGAGAAACATTTCAAATAGTGCCATGAGATCTTTAATGTCCATATTAACAGGCAGATGGTGCCTTGGTTTAACGTCTCATTTGAAGTTCGGCACCTCCAACAATGCAGCATACCCCCTGCACTGGAGTGTCAGCTTAGACTACAAGTTCCAAGTCCTGATGTGGGGCTGGAACCCCCAAACCTCTGACTCAAGTGTTCCCAACTGAGCCAGCCTGACAATTCTTCATTAGGATTTAGTGCAACAAATGTAGGTTCAGAAACTAAAGATAAATAAATACACACCTTTTTATCTTCAAGATACTCAATATTGGCAGTATTATAACCATCCCTTTGGCCATGGCTTAAGACCTTAAATCGGTGCTTTCCAATTGTATCAACAACTGATCGTCCATCAGGAAAAAACTTTACGTTTCTGACTTCCAGCATACAGCCATAATCAGCAAACCTGAAAGATCAAACACATTAGAAACGGGCAATGGAACCTTTTTTCAAAGTAGTTCATTATGGATTACACTTAAACCCCAACTAGCTGGGTTAATGGAAAAGAGATATGGACCAGCAAGCAGGAATTTCTAGGTAAGTTATTACAATGCCAGTACCGGCTTTGTAATTGTTTCATTCCCATTAGCAGAAGATAACGAATAATTGGAGTCAGGTTTTTCTAATTTATTGGTTTCTCTTTTTGAATAGTGCCATAAGATCTTTAACGTCCACCTGACCAGGCAGCTGGAACCTCATTTAATACCTCAACCGAAGGACGGAACCTCCAACTACACCCCCGCAGCACTGCAATGGAGTGTCACCTTAAACTTTCTGATTCTAAGTCCCAATGCAGAGCTTGAACCCAAAACCTTTCCAGCTCAGGCGAGAATACCAGGCTGATAAACAATTTGTAGACAGAGAGACCAACTCTTACCCTTTCAGGTCATCTCCAATGCACATTCCAAATTGCTTGGTGCCTATTTCCATACTTCTGCGAATCATGAGTCGATAACGTGGTTCAAAAACATGAAGAGGACAAGGTATTGTTGGAAAGCCCATTGTGCAGACAAAAATTGGAACGTCTTCATTTAAGCTACAAGAAGTAAAGTACAATAATTTACTTAGAAAACTGCAACTAAGTCCTATCCTTTCTGTTTTGAGTTCAAATGGTTACGCAGCAATAAGTAAACAGTACCAGTTATGCAAGTTACTTAACATTTTTCAAAAGAGCCTAATTATGCGGATAAGCTGACCATGTTCAGAAAACTCAACAGAGGGCCTTTATAATTAATAACCATTCAATGCTCAACTTCCCATTTTGTATAAGAGCACTAATTAAATAGGATACTTCAGCACAAGGTTCTTTAACATAATCGATTCCCATTTTTTTAAAAATAAATAAAAATAGCAGTAAGTAATACAGATAAAAGATTTTTAAAAATATCTTGTGGCATTTAATTGCAAACAAAAAGGCCTATTCAGGTCTAATCAGTTTAGAGAAATTGTATTTATAATCCTTGCATTTGACATAGCACTTGTCAGCCTGGACTATGAGCTCAAAAGACCTGGTGTGGAGTTTACCAATTGAGCCAGACTATTTTCCTGAATTACCAAATCAAATATTATAAAGTGACCACCACAGACATATTGTCAAACTACCTCTAAAGCATTAAACAAGGCAAGGTGGACAGATAATTACTCTATGTGACATTTTAATCAACTCCATTACCCTAAGAGGGTTCTGAATATCTAATTCTACTCATTTTAACCTGTAGATAACATTTCCACTTACTTGGAAAGCTCCTTGATTTCCTCCTGATAAAGTTTCCTTCTTTCTTTTAGTTCTTCAGGTAGGTATCGAACAATCACTTCTTCTGTCAATAAAGTTTTACTGAAAGCTCTCATTGCCAGATACTGTAGTAAAGCAAAATAAAACATTTATAATTTTACTGCAATATGCTGGTAAACAAGCAGCTCTAAACTCAACTCTGAAACATCTTTCCATACCTGCACACAAAATTATTTCGCTTTTGGATTACCGTGAGAGTATAGTTTATAATAGTCAGGCTTTTAAAACATCTCAAATTAGATATTAATTCTCTTCTTCCAAACAAAAAGGGCCTGTTACAACATTTTCCTTTAATAAACAACCTGGTTATTTCAGGATTCCAAACTCCTGAGTGCCGTTTATGTCAGACTCTGAAAACCAAAATTGGCTAATAGGGTGCATATATCCCTTTAAGTTATTACAAGATAGGGATCCTTCTATGGACAACCAAGTCAAAGTTTTCTGTTTAATTTTTTATGGGATTCGTTTTTACAACATATCTGCAAATGCACAGAATTCAATAATAATATTCCTTGCATTTGACATGGTGCCTATCACGTTTTAGACGTCTTAAAGTGCATCACACAATATACTGTACAGTGAATTGACTGTTTGTTTCATGGGCAAAACAGTTATTTGTCATGGTCTGGCTCCTTCTTCCACTCTGAATCTTGGAATTTCAGCACAGAAGAGGTCATTCACCTCAATGTGCCAGTACTAGCTTCTTAATTAAATTATCTGTATTCATCTGCTCTTTTTCTGTCTACCTTACCCATAGCCTTGATTCACCCAGTTGCCTTTTAAGTAGCATAATTGGCTTGGCTTTAATAACTACTAACAGTACCAAGTTCTACTTGAGAGATTAAATTTACCTACAGAAAGAACACACGACAAAGTGCACTTCCTTATGAATGGAAACAAATTAAACTGTAAGGCGAATGATGTGCCCAGCAAAGGACACCTGCAGTACTAACCTCTGCTAGATTTTCTTTACAGAGTGGACAACTTGAATTGTGATCCAGGCAACGCTCAAGACATTTCAAACAGAAGGTATGTCCACAGGAAGTGGTCACAGGCTCATAAAACAACCTATGTAGAGAAATGCAAAGTCATTAAAATTATGTGCAAGCATTCCAAGAGCTTTAAAAATGCTATTTTAAAAAAAATTTACAACTTCAACGCGAGTTAGATAATTAAAAACAAAGCTTTGTAAAATTAGGATGGAATGGCATACATTGCTGTTTGTGCTTTAAGTATAACTTAATAACTGCATGAGTATTTTAACATATAAAATCTAAATTTAGCTCTTGCACATTGAAAAATAAAAGTATTTTACTGCATCAAATCAGTCTTCAGCCCTAATGGATATGGATTTTTTTTTGGCTGGGGCCATGACTGGGAAGGCTGTTCATTACTTTGTTTAAAACCAACTGAAGGCATATTGATAATGACAAAGCAAGGTTCAAACCTGGATCTACCCATAGATCATAGAAAATTACAGCACAGAAGTTGACCAATCGGCCTCTTTTAAGAGCAATCTTTTCAGTCATGTTTACATGCCCTTTCCTCATACCCTTGTAATTTACTCCTATATAGGTATTTAGCTAGTTTCCTTTTGAAAGCTAATACGGATTCTGCCTGAACCACTGCTCCCACCCAACAGGATTTCCATATCCTAACTACTGCATGCATGAAAATAATTTTACTAACCTCCTCATTTGCTTGTTTACCAACTATCTTAAATTGATGCCTTTTAGCCACCACCTCACTGAACCAGTGAAAATAATTTCTCCCCATAGACTTCTTAAAAAACTCATAATTTTAAAGACCTCTATCAGGTCACCCCTCAACCTGCTTTTCTTCTAGTCATGACGGTTGAGTTACAAACTAGGCAGCAAACTTGTCAATCAGAGAGGATGTTAAAACTGATTTTGTGGATAGGATCGACGATACCATATTTCAAAGGATATTTCAAGCCATTTGGGACGTCCTTCTGGCATGAAATGCATGATATAAATGTAAATTTAGATTGTATTGCATTTAGAGTGCATGTACCTCATACACAGGGAACATTCCAAATCAGATGCATCAATAAGCTCAGAAGAAACTTCTCTCGTTGCTTTAAAATCTTCATGTGTCCGAGTTCCAAAATCACCTAAATTTAGGAGGAAAAAAACACTTGGTAAAAATTTAACTTTTTTAAAAAGTCACAGCATATACAGAAACATCTAGTCCAACAGTTTCCGTCCAACAGTGCACTTTTTTTTAAGCAAGTTAGCCGACACACACTTCAACAATTCTCAGGTCATTTGGGAATTTAAAAAACCTCCAGTTATCTACTATAACATTTTGATCAATATTTCCAAACATAAAGCATTAGCTACTGTCAAAAACATTCAACAAGGTATATTCAAATCATCAAACCTTTTTTAGCCATTTTGCTTGGAATTGTTAAGCTATGACAGGTCTCTGGGTCACATGATTGCTTTCTCTTCAAGCTGCCAGCAGTTAAACTAGATGGAGTGGGTTCTGTCATCACTGTCATCTCATCCAGAGTTGTCTCGGCCCTTTTAAATACTTGATTGGAGACATCTGAATCTTGCATTGACATTTTATTCATCTTAATTGCAGCCAAACAAAAGGAAATTAAAGAATGTCACTAAACATGATGAGAGCGATATAAGTCAAAATATAGTTGTACAAGATTAGCCACACTAATCTGAACAAGGCACATTGCGGTAAGCAGACAATGCAGATAGTTGGACATCATGCAAAATACAAATTCCCTATAGGCATCTGCTAACTAAAAAAAACATTTTCATCAGGAGTTACACTGGAGTACAACACTGTCGGCAATTCTCTCTCTCTAACCTATTCTACATTACTATCTTTATACGGTTTAACAGTACATTTCTCATTTATCTTTTTGTTGTGCAACAACTACATTTGTCACATACTTTGTTGTTTACAGAAACGACACTGTAAATGCAAACGTGCAGTTGGCAGATAAGTTTCAATTTTAACAAAGTGTCAGTACCTTGGAAGTTCCAGAATTTGTATCCTCTTTGGCAGGAGGAGAGCTAAAGGAGCTGAGAAAGGTAGGTTTAGGTCTTGTGTAAGATGACTGCCGTCGCATGTTGGATGGTAGGCTGTCCTGCATATTTTCCAAGACGGGTGAAAACATATCACACAAGATCTACAACAAAAATGAAATGTTCATCTTAGTAATCACAAAATAATAATCCCTACATTTGATACAGCACTTCACATCGGGACATTATCTCAAAAAGCATCACAGGATATATTGTAAAGCGGTGGGACTGTGTATTTGTTAGGTGGAGGCAAACGCCTGGTCAGTTTTGCAAAGAGCAATGTCCCACAAATAGCCATATAGTCATATTCATGAAGTGAATAGCCAATCCCCCAAACAGCAGATCACAAAGCCATTTTACCAAGACCAGGTAATTAATATATAATATATATACTGGCTATTTACTGGCCATATAAATATATGTTATATATATCAGGCTAAGTTCACCCAGCATAAAGCTCATGCGATTGACCTGTAAACCATCAGGTTAGGCTGAAGCTCAATGTAGTTCATTTCAGCCTCATTGATGGATAAGAAATGAGGGCAAGTTTAAGGTAGGCTGAGCCATATAATCTTTACATAGTGTTTTATCAGGTCATCAAAACATCTCAATGGGCTTCACAGCATTTACTGTTAAGTGCAGTGCATGTATTTTGTAGGCAAACATGGCAGCCAACTTTGCACAAAGCAGTGTCCAACAACCAACCATATAATGGATGACCAATTTTATTTGGGATATTGTTGGCCAGGACAATAAGAGAAATTCCCTTTTACTTTCAAGTAGTGCTATGGAATTAATAAACAGCAGAACACACACACAGGACCTCAGTTTAAGGCTTAAACGTTACGGTCTCACATACAATAATCATTCCAGCGCATAAAAGGAGGAAAACACCACCACGGAGAATGATAGGAGGGAAACGTTAAAGCTCTGGAGAAAAAGTACATCTGAGAGAGGAAGCATTGAAGAAAACAATTACCTTTTGTGCTTCTAATTTTACTGACTTCCAGTCTGGTCTCAAAGCAATGCAATAGATATACTCTTTCAAAGCTTCTTCACTTCTGCATAATGCAGCCAGAGCCCGAGCTTTCCAAAAATGGCTCTGTTCAGAAAAAAAAGTCATTTAGATATTTTGTAATGCAAGTTCATCTAATCATGCAAATCTTTCAACATTGTGTAAAGCGCACATTAGAGCTATTTGGGTAATATTTTGCAACTCAGAATGCATACGGGATATTCAAACCGAGGAAAACATCAAACTTGATTTAAATAATTATCCCGGAACACAAAAACACTACCTTTGTCCTTAATGGTTTAAGTGTACATGCTGTTTCTCCATCATGAAGAGCTTCCTTATAATTTCCCATATTTATATGCAATTCTGCACGGTTACAGAGCATCAAGTAGTCATGAGGTGCTGAGGAAATAAATTAAAAAGGAATTATTGAATTTGCTCATCGATTCAGGCTCGAACATTTTATACTGAATATTGAAATGGCAAGTATTACATAGCAAAATTAAACATGGTTTAAGGATGGCCCATTGGATGATTTTGTCTGGTCCGCAAACCATTACCTCCCAGCTGCACCTCTCTTCTAGTCAGTCCTCCATGAGGCAGCACAAAGAGCAACAGAAAGAGGGGCGGAGAGGAAGATAACCAGCCCTGCCCCTCCCCATTACGTTTCAACAACAACTTGCACTTATGTGGCGCCCTCCATGCCGGGCGGCATCTCAGCGTTTCACACTGTGTCGAGTCTCATGCAACCTGGTGAGACTCATCAAGCAGCAGCAGCAGGAGTATTTTGCAATTGTACAACTACAGAGCCATGAGTTTCAGTAGGAAACGCAAGGTAGATATGTAAAATAGGATTTCAGTGCAAGTGGAATACTTGTTTATTGAAAGTAATAGAAAACCTCAGTGCCTTGTTGGCTTGCAAGTCATATCTGCGTCGAAGGAGTTCAGAGCTAGTTTTGCAACCTGTTTTAGTTTTGTTGAACATTCTCTGTAGGGGACCCATACGCTGAGTTGATATCTTGTGTTTTGACTTCAATACATTAAAAAAATTAATGTATATATTTCTACTTGTGATGATCATTATTAAGTTATAAAGTCACACAATTTAAAACATAGCATGTCTGTATGATTCTTTTACGTTTCTGGAAGGGAAAAACAAAAATATTGCTTATTTGACCACATTTCTTATATGTGACATCCGGCTCTCAACACCCAAAAGTTTGGACCACCCTGGTTTAACAGCAACAAGATTACATTTGTATAGCGCCTTTCACATCAGGAGGACTTCCCAAGGCCCTGGACAGAGCACAGCATTTCAGACCCAAGCTGGGGTTGGTGGGAAAAGGGAGGGGGAAGTCAATGGCATGGTTGAAGAGGATGGCTTAAGGTATTTTATGAAGTTTTCCCACCCAATATACAGTAAATGATATCTTGGCAAGACTTATTCTGGGAAAATGATAATTTTTGTAAAGTATTTTTTTAAAAACTGCCCATATTATAGCCACTTTTTTTGAATACAGAAAATAATAAACACTTTAACAAAACCCTTTATTCTGAATCTCAAAAGATGAGAAACTAATTTCCACACATCACTCCCATCAAGTTGTCTAGACTAAAAAATAAATTCTGATTGACAAGCTCTCAACAACAATTCATACCAGGTAGCTAAGAACTTGATTTCATAGCTGTCTGGTTAGGAAAAACATACATCTATACCATGCTACAAATTCACAGCAGCTGGACAGAACTAACATAAAATCAGCATGAGACTGAATCAAAGCTGTTGAGCCAAATGGTCCAATTCCATCCTGTATTATTCTATGTAATTCCATGTAACATATCGTGGAAGATTGGCTAGGATTTATTTGGATTTCAACAATCATATTCAGAACAAGCACAAACTCCTATCAAATTGGATAGCAGTTACATAAATCTACCACCAAATGATTAAATATGAAAAACAAAAGCTTATGGAATACACAAATCTAAACATCTATAAAATATATTATAATATGCAATAGGTGGTAGCGATTTGTGAATTAAACTTCTTTCTAAATCTATTATTAAATAGTGATTATACACTCCAGAGATTCAGTGAAATTTGCACATTAAAGCGTAACAGTTATTTCAACTTCTTTCACTGGAGTGAAATACACAAATTTTATATTCAGATAGAACCCAAGACTAGCTCCAAGGCAAACTCCAGCAGCTCCTGGCATAACGTGATTCATCAGTACATGGCTGTGCAGACCAGGCAGATTAATTGAAGACACATTGTACGAACACAATAGGTCTTCAATGACTCAGTTCTGTCGCTTACACTATTATTGATGCAGGTGGAAACAGTTTAACCCTTCCTCTCCTACAAAGATCGCTTAAGATTCCAGAAAACTAGCCTATGTTGGGTCTCAACAAAAAAAACAAGTGAGAATGAATGACAAAGTTACTTCACTCTCCTCACCTCACAAATAAAGCACCAAACTATAAACTGAAGCCAGATGACCCAATTCCAGCTGCTTGAAGATGTGAAGCACCTCACTATGCAAGGAAAATACTGAAGCTGTGCTTACACAGTAAATTCTTCTCTTCCATTATACTAACATTTCCACACAACCCAGGAATCATGTGGCCTTGTGTTTGCAGGGCAGAAAATCAGCCACTAGAGGGTGTACAAGAGCATTATCCCTTTTTTGGCAAACTTCTTGGTCTGCACTTTCTCATAACACCTTTACTAAGGATCTCTGCGGAGGGATCTCAGGAATTAACTTGTACTCCAAATTATGAAAAGTTGGTGGAGCTCATTTGGGTTTCAATAGCCATTATGCTACCACTACTTTGGAAAAAAAAATTTGCACTCACTATAGTCATTACAGTTAACTGAGCCAATTCATAATACAGTAAAATACACAAGTTGGGACCACAACATTTAATATCATTTCCGTGACATCTGCGTTTCAGGCAAACTTGCGCAAGTTGTATAAGATCTGATTTAATCAATAATCTACATTATGCATGCATAATTCATTGCAGCCAGTAAGAGCTCATGCAGTAGTTCGTCCTATGAACACCTGGCATATCAAAATGCCAGGCATTCAAAAATAATTAATAATCTCTACCCCTCCAAGTCCTGCTGATTAGCCACAATGAATAGATCTTTCATCAGCAATACTAAAGAACATGATCAACCCACCGAGATCGCCACAAAAAGTTTTCAACATTCCATTGCCAAGCACATCGACTTGGAGCCATCTCAGCTCCAAGGAGACCTGACAAAATGAAATGTTTAATAAGGTCAAAGTAGAGCATTAAGCAATATGGAAAAAATACAAGGAAATAGGCTTAAAAGATCTACATAAAATGGCTGAACATACCTACTCCTATCCTATGTTAAAACAATCCCAGACTTTGATTTAGTACTTCTCAAAATACATCATGGGTGTTTGCTGTTATGTATCCAAATTGACAGCAATTTGCACACAGCAAGGTCTAACAAACAGAGTGAATGCCAATTTAACTATTTTAATTCAACGATTGTTGACTAGGCCACTGGGAGAAACTTCTGTTTGAATTGTGTCATGCGATCCTTAGTGTCCACCTACAGCACTGCAAGACACTATTCAACATGAAGAGAACGATATAAATGCAAGGAGCTGCTGTCATAAAAAAGACATACAGAACACCAATTTGAAATCTTATCTGAAGGAAGCACTACTACAATGTTTCAATGCTTCATTGCAGTAACAGAGAATGCCTCATTATCAGACAATTCAAACTGACGAAAGAGTTTCTCCCAGAGTTCCAGCGAGGTCAATGATAACAATAATAATCCTTGCATTTTATTATTACTAATCACCTAATCACATCATTGAGATGACTCAAAGCGCTTCAGAGAATACACTGTAAAGTGAATTGACTTATTTTGTGGGTGAATCACTGCAGCCAATTGCTTACAGCAATGTCCCATAAACAGTCTTTGATTTTTTGGGGGGAGGGATTATGACTGACAACCGGGTTCCTACTCACTGCTCGGTAAACAGAGCCGTGTGGAGTAAGGAAACTTGCCTAAAGTTTCGCCCCACCCTGCCTGGGAATCGAACCAAAATCAAATAAGTAAAACATCCTTATATGGGGTTTGAATTCAGCATGCGAGTCTGACCAACTGAACCAAGCTGACACCTTAGGTTCCTAAAAAAAAGGCAGATTCTTAGTTTTCGTATGAATTTTATGAAACAAACCAGTACCATTTTGTGGAAATTGGAAAGAAAAAGCTAATTCTGCATCGTGTTTTTCAACAATTTACAGTGAATCCTGTGAGGATCTTTGAGACATTCTCCTGACATGAAAGCATATGCAGGGATATTTTTTAATATATCAAACCCTTTTTGCAAAATGTTTTGTCAGTTAGGACACATTGATTTTTTTCTCAAAAATACGCCACATTAAATCCAAGCAATGTTCAAACATTCTCAAGTTAACCTGACATAGGTGTACTGCAGCTATCATTTTAATCAACCAAACTAAAACGTATCCAGCAATAACATATTTTCTCATATATTGTTTAATACTACCATGTTCTACAGATGTAGTACTATGCTCAGCTTTTAAATGTTTTACAACCAAAAACCTCTTTGTATCTTTATATAATTTGGCAGAAGGGCTGCTATTCCCGATAGTTATATAACATTGTTTGTTTAGTCAGACTCACTGCATGAGAATTTTTTTTTAATCAGTTGACAGAGGTTATGCAACTGAGATCCACAAAAACTAAATGCTGTTTTGAATCAGTTCATACATTTCCTACATGAAGAATAGATAAGTACATACAGGGGAACCTGGGATGTAGTAGAGAAGTACATACAAGAGAAGCCCACCTCTACAGGAGAAGCCCGCATGTTTCTCCCACCCCTCCCCCATCGGAGCCAAAAATCTCATCCATGTCTTTGTCACCTCCCGCCTCGATTACTCCAATGTCCTTCTCATTGGTCTCCCCAGCTCCACTACCCACAAACTGCAACTAATTCAGAACTCTTCCACCCATATTCTCACTTGCACTAAACTCCTTACCCCCATTCATACCAGTTCTCCCCAGGCTCCCCATCACAGAACGGATCAATTTCAAGATCCTCACTCGTCGACAAATCCTACTTTTCTGACCTACTTTCTCCCCATTCCACTACCCCCTGCATCCATCCCTTGTCCCCTCCACCATCGACGGCCATGCTTTCAGCCCCAATACTCTAAAGTTTTGGAACTCTCTTCTCCCAATCCCTCCTTCTTCCCCCTTGCTTCCCCTTTTTTAGCTCATGAACAAAGCCTAGAGGGAGGGATGAGGTGACTGTAAACACAGTCAAAGAGGGAGGTCTTCGTTCATACTCTAAAAGAGGTGAAGGAGGGATATTTTTAAGTGCTCCAACACATAAATGCAAGTTGTGTTGAACAACTTTGTTGCAGCATGATCAACAAGTCCAGTATCTGAACCACACAATAAGCAAAGTGCTAAACTACTGCTGACTTCTGGATCACTTCCTGTGTGCTGCCTACGAGCAGGAAGCAGCACTTTCTTTGCAAAGTGAAGTCAACTGCACTTCTTACACTGTAGTGTGCAGAAAGTGACATTGACAGTGTTTCCTGCATAGCAAGTGACAATAGCATTAACCCAATGACCTGGACACGAGCCATTTTTAAAGCTAAAGGTAGAATTATAAGTGAGGCCCACTCTATAACGGGGTTTCTCCGTGTGTATACATATAAATTGATCATCTCAATCTTGGTTATGTCTACACAAAAAAAAATGCTACTGTGAAACCATGCAACAGATATAAATACAGTACATTAAAAATAGATGTGATGATTTCCTCACTTATAATAATACTTGCATTTGACATAGCACCTTATCACATATTCTAGAAATCTCAAATATACCATCAGAACACAGCAAATGTAATGAGCTACTAACTGAGCCATGGAACATCTCCCGGTGTCCTAGTTAGTAATCCTCCAGATAAAATTGGTCATTCGGTTCATGGCTGGTTGTGGGACACTGCTGTATGTAACCTGGCTGCAGCGTTTGCCTACAAATACATAGATAGTCTGTAACAATTTAACAAGTTCAGTTACTGCATTTGAATTTGCATTTAAATTTGCTCGAGACAAAAGTTATCACATTTGCATCTAAATGTTTGAGTGAAAAATTTTAAGTCGACCAAATGTATTTGCAATATTTTCAAATGCTTCAATGACTACCTGATACATTGGGTGACAGGTGGTACTTAATCACAACATGGACACAGAAGCATATTTATATACAATATGTACCTATTGCTGCATTTTTTCTGCTTGAATAGAAAATGTCACATCAGCATCCAGTACATTTGCAAATACAATTGCATTTGGAGACAACAAATATGAATTTATTTTTGAATGTGGCTAATTGAGTCAGGCTGACACTGATTTGTTTTTGGTCAGCCGAGTTTCTGACACATGCCCATCACCATGCTTAAGAGTATCCAAATTAAGCTGAGATTTCCATGCATCTCACCTACACATAAAAATCCCAAAGATAGACGCACTCTCTCCTTGGAGGGACGCATCTGCTTACCTCATTTCGGAAAGCAATAGGTGCAGATTGGCAAGAGCCAAGGTTTGAAGACCCCAGAGTGTGTGTTGGGGTACTACGAGAATCTAACCAGCTAAAACCACATAGCTTTCCATTGATATTGCTGTCCAGCAAGCTTTCCTGCTGCTTGCCCAGCTCGGACCACCCTACCTGTTAAGCCTTTGGATTAAGATGCTCAGTGGGATAACTTCCTGCCCCAGTGACTGATCTGCTCTTCCAGGTCCTGCTGATGAGCCAGGCTGGCTGTCGAATACTGTGGACCTGCCTACTGAGACCGTCACAGAGGGCTGGCTCAATTTCGTAGCCAGGCATGTCACCTTGGAGCCAGTTCAGTTTAGTAATCTTGTCACCCAACTTCTTTGCTCTATATCTTTCTGAGCAGATCCAAAATAGTTATTTAAGTTATTTATTTTTTGATTATTAAATAAGCTTGTCTCAGTTGGTAGCACTCTCATCTCTCCGTTACAAGGCAGAGATTTTGAATCCAGACCAGAGGATCTGAATTTATAATTTAAATCAGCATCAGCCAACAGGCAACCCATGCGCCTCAACCAGCCCAGGGGATTATTTTGTTCAGCACCGCAAACCATTTCCGACCTCACTGCTTTAACTTCCCGGCTGCACCTCTCTTCTGCTCGGTCTCCATGAGGTAGCTCAAAAAGAGACAGGAAGAGGTATGGAGAGGGAGGTAAAGCAGTGAAGTCGGAAAAGGTATCCAGTTGCCCCTCCCTGTCATGTTTCACACTGCCTCGATTCTCTTGCAACCTGGTGAGAGTCAACAAGCAGGAGTATTTTACTATTCTAAAACTACAGAGCTATGAGTCGAAGCAGGAAACAAGGTAGTTTCTGAAATGTGGCATCAGGCGCTTGATACCCAACAGGTTGGACCACACTGATCTAAATTGATATTCCAGCACAACACTGAAGGAATAATGTAGTTTTGTATGTGCTCATTCTTCATCTTAAAGTTAAATGAAGAATTTGTTATAATATAATAACAATCCTTGCATTTCACATAGCGCCTTATTATATCTTCGAGATGTCTCAAAGCGTTTCACAGAATATATTGTAAAGTGAATTGACTGTTAAATTTGACTATTAATTTAAGATGTTAAAACTTGTTGTTAGGGCCACTCTACCTGTTCATTTAAAATCCCATTGCACTATTTTGAAAAGAAAAAGGTGTTTCTCCTGGTATCCTGGCCAACAATCCTCTAGTTACAAATTAGTCATTTACTTTGTGGCTGGTTGTAAGACACAGCTGCAGGCAAATTGGTTGTTGCATTCACCTACAAATACAATCACTAAACTCTACAGTAAATCCTGTGAAACAGATGACGTGGCACAATAAGACACTGTATCAAATACATGAATGATTATGAATCATTTGTCATTTGCATTACCAACAGATGAGAACATACTATGCCTCATTAAACCCATAACATACAACAATGATATTCCCATGACCGTGAGAAATTCCATTGTACAAAATCACTTCCGTTTAAATCATAATTTGAACACACTAGCAATTACTGTACAGCAGAAGCCCGTAAATATGTTTAAGTTAGTGGCAGTTAGGCATATGGCAGTAATACATCACAGGATAACATTCACAATTCACTCAGAGCTCTGCTCTTACAGTTTGCCTTAAATGCATTAGCTATGCAACAACAACAACAAAATTACATTTGTATAGCGCCTTTCACGTCAGGGGGACATCCCAAGGCGCTGGATTATGCAAGATTATCCTTTCTCTAAATAAAACCTCAACACCCTCCAAATCCAAGCATGGGGTTATCAAACTACTTCCTCTCCACTTTTCCTGCTTTCTGTTTTTTTTCCCCATCCTTGGGACTTTTATTTCATCCTTTATTGCATTTCTGGTATCACATTCGCAAAAACCATTACAATAATTATGGATATTTCATCTGAAATATGCATTCGCCAGAACCACAGCATCCAATTGGCATTTATAGCACTTCCAAGTTATTTTGAACGAGGAATTCAGCAGATGTGGGAATGTAAACCAACGCGGCTTTTTATATATAGGTCAATTACCGCAGGATCGGTGACTTCAGGTCCCACTTATCCCGTTATTATACGTGTTGGAGCGAGAAAAGGAGATTGGAAATGTTCTTTTTTTTTAAAAACAAAGAGTCACTATCCCTTCGGAACTTTTTCGGGAGATCAGGGTCACGATAATGTCAGAGCGAGGAGGTTTTAGCCGTTGCAAATTCCTACAGATTTTTACAAGGGCGTCTCAGTTCTTTAAGCCCAAGTACATTACATAAAACGATCATTGCAGATGTAGGTCACTGGAAGCCGACACTGCCCTACTTTCTTTCCTCTCTTATGCAACAAATGCTTCAGACGTTGTTGTGTACTGCAATAAGAAACTTTCCCATAATCTGCCGCCCCGTCAATCTCACCCAAACACACACACACACACACACACAGAGAGAGACAAACACAAAGGAGTTATGTTGCCCACCAGAGCCCCCCCTCCCCTCCCCTCCCCTCCCCGGTAACTGTCGAGCAGTGGGGAATCTCTTACCCAAACTCAGTGCCTGGTTGTAGAGCTCCAAAGCGGCGGAGTAGTTGCGGTTGTGGCACAGTTGCTCGGCCTCGGGCCGCAGACGCTGGGCCTGGCTCTCGGCCGCGAACCACTTGCCCAACAGGTTACACAACACAACGTTGAGTCTGAAGTTAGGTCCGGGGGAGGCGGCGGCGGCCGATGGGGTTTCGCCGGGGGTCGGGGTGGCCGCCTGCCCCTTGTGGAGCGGCCGCCCACACAGCTTGCACTCGGCGGCCGCCTGCTTCTCCAGGCAACTCTTGCAGAAGGTGTGGCCGCAGGGCACGGTGATGGGCTCGTACAGCAACACCAGGCACAGGCGGCAGCTGAACACGTCCGACTCCGCTTCCTCCTCTTCCTCGTCGCTCGACCTGGGAGTGTGGGAGCCCCCGACTCGGCCCGCAGTCTGGGGCTGTCGCTCCGGCTTCTTCCTCCGCTGCCGGTCCAGGTCTTTGCTCCGGATACTGGCGGCGATGGCTTCCAGCAGCTCCTGTAGGTTCTCGGGCAGCAGGCGGCCCAGCTCCGAGGCTTTCTGGTACGTTTCGAAGGCCTCGTTGAGCCGGGCGGAGCGGGCCAGCGAGCGGGCCTTGCCGAGGTACAGGCGGCGCTCGGGCCCGCGCTCCTGCAGCTGACACTCGTAGATATCGGCCGCCAGCTCGTAGTTACGGGCCCGGAAAGCCTCCTCCGCCAACTCCAGCATCTCGCTGTGCGTCTCCATCCTCCTGTGTGAGCGGCAAACAACACAAAGGGTGTGTGTGTGTGTGTCCGGAGCTGGTGCCCGAGTGTCCGGGGCTCCGCTCTCAGTGCGGCTGGTGCTCAGTGCTGGGTGTCCGGAGGGCTCAGTGAGGCCGGAGCTCGGCTCCGCTCCGCTTGGCCGGAGCCGGCGCTCACTCGCTCGGTCGGTGTGTGACGGTTAGGGCGCGAGAGCCGCTCTGATTGGGGAGCCTCGCCTCACGTGACCGTGTAACCCGCTTCACCCCCCAGTCAGTGGGTTTATATAACCCGCTGTTGTATAACACATGTTGACGTGTAATGTCACCGCTTCGCTGCCGCTCGTTGTGAAATAAATAACTGGGGGTTTGTGTCTGTGTGTGTGTTTTATTTTTAAAAAATCAGTATCTATCCCGGGGCCAGAAATGGGCCCGAGAGCCGACTCATTCCGGTGAAGGAGCAGAGCTTTTGAGTCCTGACGACAAAAGGAAAGGCGAATCGATGAAATGCGTTACGTTAGTTTTAATCTTATGGCGAGTAACACATTTGTTCTCTTTTCAGTGTGCGGTTTTTTTAAAAAAAAACAGACCGACTTCCCTCGTGGAATTGTTCCCGAGTGAAGGGCGGGATATAAATGCAAGTTGTTGTGGTCGTCGTCGTCCTCTTTGCCGATTAGTCAGAGAAACTTGTCAGTTTTTTTTNGAGTGGGTGGGGGGTGGTGGTGTGGGGGGGGTTTGAAACCGCCTGATGTTTCTCCTGAAAGCAACACTATAAATCAAAGTTTATTTTAGTAACGTTTCCAATCTCAGCACAAATCTCTCTCCCTTTTCCCCCCCCTTTTCAGGTTCATTGCATTCTGCTGTCTCCTTCGGGGCGAATTGAGAGTTGAATTCAGGACCTATACCCCACTTCAGAAAAGTGCCTCTTGGTCTCATTGAATTAATTTGTGATACAAATGCCTTATTGCGAACGGCAAGACAGAACCGTGATGAAGGGAACTTGCGTCAGTACATATTGAACTTTATTTCATTTGGGGGCATTAACATCTGTGGCACGAGGGAAAACACATGAATCCCTTTAGTGTATTGATGCTGCAATCAGACACGGTTCTGAACCATTTGCTGAATCTTTCTTCAAGAGCAAGAATAAACCCTAACATAATAATAATCCTTAATAATAATTCTTGCGTTTGATATATAAGAACAGAAGAATTTGTGAGGCAAAAGAAGACAAAGGTCCAATCTAGTTCACCTTCCACCATCCTTGACGTGTTGTGTCCCAAACTATACACTGTATCCCAAGATATTATTTTCTAGCAGAAATCTATCTAATTTGTTCTTGAAACAAACGACATTTACTGCTTCCATTGTCTCCATAGGGAGGCTGTTCCATAAGTTTACTACTCGCTCATTGAAGTAGTGTTTTCACAGATTTGTTATGAATTTACCTCCCTTCAATCGCAGGCTGAGTCATCTGGTTCTAATGTTCAGTACAAGATAAAACAAGATAAAACAGCTTATCATGGTCTACATTATCAATTCCCTTCAGAATCTTTAAGACCGTAATCGTATCACCTCTCAACTTTCTCTTCAGTGTGAACATACCCAGTTTTAATCGCTCGCTGTAGTCCAGTCCCTCTATTACAGTCTATATCAATGATATAGTCCAGTCACAAAAAGTTAGTATGCAGGTACAGCAAGCAACTAGGAAGGCTAATGCCATGTTGCCGTTCGTTGCAAAAGGGTTAGAGTACAAGAGTAGGGAAGTCTTGCTGCAGTTGTATAAGGCCTTGGTGAGACCCCACCTAGAATATTGTGTGCAGTTTTGGTCTCCTTATTTAAGAAAGGACATACTCGCATTAGAGGGGGTGCAGCGTAGAATCACTAGGTTGGTTCCTGGGATGAGGGGGGTTGACCTACGAGGAGAGGTTGAATAAACTAGACCTATATACTATGGAATATAGAAGAATTAGAGGTGATCTTATAGAAACCTATAAGATTCTTAAGGGTCTTGACAGGGTAGATGCTGTGAGACTGTTTCTCTTGGTTGGAGAATCTAAAACTAGGGGTCATATCTCAAGATTAAGGGTCAGCCTTTTCAAACTGAGTTAAAACATTTCTTCACTCAGAGGGTAATTAATTTGTGGCATTCTCTACCACAGAAGGCTGTGGATGCTCAGTCCTTGAACATATTCAAGACTGAGGTTGATAGATTTCTAAAGGATAGAGGGATTAAGGGATATGGGGATAGGGCGGGTAAATGGAATTAGGTTAGAAGATCAGCCATGTCTCTCACCCGACCCGCCCTACCAGCAGCTGGGCTTTTAGCCTTTCCGCCCCTACCCTTTGGAACTTCATCCCACAATCCCTTTGCCTTGCTCCCTCTCTTACCTCCTTCAAGGCATAACTCAAGACCTTCCTTTTCGACTGTGCCTTCAGAAGCCCTCCTAGCTCTCTGCCCTCTAATTCCAACCCTGACCCTCTACGCTCACGTCCTGATCCCCGACTGTTCAGTGCCTTAGGACATTCTCCTGACATGAAAGGACCCCTGTGGAACTCCACTGGTAACATTGTCCAAACTTGATGACATTCCCTGTACCACCATCTTCTGGGTTCTGTCAGTCAGCCAATTATGTATCCATTGCAAGATATTTCCTCTGATTCCCACTTTATTTCCAGTACCAGCCTTTCATGAGGAACTGTTATCAACTCCTTACTGAAATCCACATATACAATATCCACTGCCTTACCCTTATCAAGTTCCTTTGTCACACAGTCAAAGAAAACCAGTAAATTAGTTTGGCAGGATCTCCCCTTCATAAAACCCATATTCGCTATCTTTTATCATTTTATTACATTCCAGATGCTCCATGATCTTATTTTTAATAAGAGTCTCCGTAACTTTACCCACAATGGACATCAAATTCACTGGTCTGTAATTTCCTGGGTCACTTTTGCTACCTTTTTTNAAAAATAGGAGTAACATCTGCCTTTCTCCAGTCCCCAGGCACCTCTCCAGTATCCAGTGATTTCTGAAAGATTTGTGACAGAGTTCCTGTAATTTCCTCCCTTCCTGTTCCTGTTAGTTCCTTAAGGATACACGGTTGCAATTCATCTGGCCCTTGGGATTTGTTTACCTTAAGTTTGCACAATTGTTTAGCAACCATACTGGTAGTGATATGCATGGTGTTACAACTTAATAATAATAATAATAATCCTTGCATTCGATATAGAGCCTTATCACATCTTCGACTCATCTCAATGCGCTTCACAGAATACACTGTAAAGTGCAGTGACTGTTTATTTTGTGGGTGAAATGCGGCAGCTAATTCCACAAACAGTTATGGATTGAGTGACCAAATTATTATTATTTTTCTTTTTTTAAAAGGTTTTTGGAGGGATTATTACCCCTAGAAAGCGATCCGCCAATTGACTAACTTACTGCTAGCTAAATAGGGGTGTGTGGAGTGAAGAAATCTGCCCAAGGTTTGCCCGGGAATCAAACCCAGGTCCTCGTTTGCGAGGTGAGTGCGCTAACCACTAAGCTACAGGAATCCACTAACATAATATATATACATGGTATTTTTATGTGCAGTAAAATTTGTTCTTCTGAACAAAGCATAGACCAAAGCTGTGCTGAAGGAATTTATTCCTTAATTAACCTCAAGATTCTAAAGGATGACCAAGTGATTTTATCTGATGAAAACACATTTTGTTCTACCTACCAACTGCTTCTCGTATGTTGCATTATCTTACATTAAAACTCAGAAACTCTTAATTTTGATAAAGGAATAATTCTTAGCTACAATTCCGTTGGGACTGATTATAAAAGTCACTTTTTATTGTGCCTGCAAACATAACACAACAACTATCACCCTGCAAAGAGTGAAATTCAACACTTTCCTTCTATTCTCTAAAGTTATAAATAACTAGCCGTACCCATTGAAGCTACGCTTGCAACCAGTTTCATTTAATCAGCCATCTCTCATTCGTCTGGCATTTGTATTTGCCCTTGAAAGGCTTGATTTTTGCTTCTTAGGCATTTTTATCCAATAAGATTAAGAAAATGTGCTATTGCACTCGTTAGCATCCCTTGTTAACATCGCGACCCTATCACCCCCATACTTGCCCAACTCCAATGACACCCAATCACACAGAGGATACATTTCAAGATCCTGGTCCTCACCTTCAAAACCCTCCACGGTCTTGCTCCCCCCTACTTCTCCAACCTCTTAAAACCCTACCACCCTGTTCACTCCCTCTGCTCAGCCTGCTTCACATCCCCCGCCTTGCTCACCCCATTATCAGCGGGCGGGCCTTCTGCCACTCTGCACCCACCCTCTGGAACTCCATCCCGCAGTCCCTCCGTTTCACTCCCTCCCTTGCCACCTTCAAGACCCACCTCAAGACCTCGTCTTCGACCGTGATTTTGATCCACTCCAACCCCCAGCTCGGGTCCGTAACTCTGTCTGTCCAGTGCCTTGGGACGTTCTCCCGATGTGAAAGGGGCTATACAAATGTAATTTTGTTGTTGTTGTTCACGTATTTGCACACATTCTTTTGGGAGGACGCCTGTGGGAGGATTCCTGACACACAGATAGACATTTTGTCTTTATTGGTATCCTGTTGGGAGGACTCTTGTTGGGAGGCCTCAGTGGGAGCACTGACACACACACACACACACACACAGTAATTTCATCTATACAGATGTATGTAATCTCTGTGTGATCTCTGTCACTACTTTGTTGCAGAATACCGTGCATATCTTTTTGAGACTTAATGAAAGCATTTTTTGATATCTATTTTTAATATAGCTCATCAACGTTAGGAGATTCCTGGAAAAAATAGACCCATGACGCTCCCTGACGCAAGATCTTTCTGATGAGGTATAAATCAAGTCTCTACATCAATCGGTTATTGAGTTCTTGGCAGACACATACACAGACAGACATTACATCTTTATTAGAATACATAGATATGCCTTACATTGGATATAGCACCTATAAACCCCAAAACACCTCTCAAAGCCCTTTGCAAATAATTGTTATCAAGCATAGTGACCATGTATTTGTAATAATAATAATAATCGCATTTGTTATAGCGCTTTTCATGTCTTCTAAACATCTCAAAGCACTTCACAGAATATACTGTAAAGTGAATTGACTGTATATTCATGGGCGAAACGTGGCAGCCAATTGTGCCCAGCAGTGTTCCACAAACAGTCGTGGATTGAATAACCAAATGTTATTGCTCTTTTTTCTTGAGGGTTTTATTATCAGGCATGTGGAGTAAGGAAACTTGTTTCACCCTGCTGGGAATCGAACCGAGGTCTCTCGCTTGCAAGGCAGCGCTCTAACCACTGAGCTACAGGACTCCACTGTGTAAACAAACACAGTCAATTTACATATAGCAAGAGATCTCAGAACTGCACCTCCAACAAAGTAGGTGTTAACAGAGCAAGAATTCTGTTAATAAAGCAATTAGCAAGACTCTTTCAATTAGAACAGAGGCAATTGCTACTTGAAGTGCTCAAAGGGGAGACTAAAGCGATGGTTCCAAAAAAGTTTAATGTTCCAAGAACAACCCTCAATTGGTGCCTGGACAATAAGGACAAAATTCTCAGTGCTATTAATGCAGACACATTCAATGTGAATAGAAAACAAATGTGGACCTCCATTCACAGTGGTATAAAGAACTGTTTCTTGGTATGGCTTCGTCAGGCAAGAGCTCAAAGCATTCTAGTAAGTGGTCCAATTCCTACAGAAAAGGCAAATCAATTTGCAGCTCAATTAGGCGTGGCAAATTTGGAGTGCACAAACGGATGGTTAGAGCGCTTTAAGGCAAGACATGGCGTATCATTTCAGTTGGTTTGCGGAGAATCCAATTCAGCTCCACAAATTAAAATTAATGAGCGGAAATCTACAGCACTGGGTGTATGAGCTGCGGAATATTTGTAATGGAGACACAGTTACTACCAAACAGAACTTTGGCTTTTAAGGGAGAAAAATGTTGAGTGAGATACAAAGTAAGATTAAAAAAAACTGCTGGTCTTACCTGTCAATTGCTTCCCTTTTCAGTGGACAGCAAACACTAAACCTTCATGACATGGTTGGACAAAAGAGAAAGGTTGTCCTTAATGTGAACAATTGCTCTGTCCACCCAGGCATTAGTGCCCTCAAGGCTGAGCATCTTTTATCATTCATATGACCGAAGGCAAGGTAAAAGAGGAAGGTCTTCAGGTGGACCTTGAAGGAGGTGAGGGAAGGGGCGAGGTGAAAGTACTCTGGGATGGAATTTCCAGAGAGTGGAGACAGAAAGGCTGACAACCCGACCGCTGATGGTGGACTGTACGTCTGGGGACGTGCAGCAGAACACCGCGTGATGTGCCAGCAGGCCTGATGTTCTGGAGATCCAATAATTCAAGATCTGTGTTAAGTTTTAACCTTAGAACTAGAAATTTAATTTGTTGTTGTAACCTTATCTCGGGGAGCACAGTTAGCTCACCACAGTTAGCCTCAGTGTCTCTGGACACTGAATGATAAAACCATCAACCAAGATTCCTGCTCTTAGTGATTTCTAACAATAATAATCCTTGCATTTGATGTGGTGTCTTTCACATCGGGAGTATGTCTCAAAACACTGCACAAGGTATAACCTAAAGAGTAGTGACTGTGGACTTTGTAGGTGAACGAGGCAGCCAGGATTCACACAGCAATGTCCCACAAACAGCCAAGAACAACCAATTTCATTAGGGGATTATTGGCCTAGACTTGTGACTCTAGACTTGTGAGTCCAAAATCCCAACATGGTGCTTGAACTTACTCTTGTAGCTCAGAGGTGAGATTGCTAGCAACTGAAACAGACTGACCTTTTGCTGCAAAGTATGCATGCATAAAATATTGAAGAGGCCAGGATTGAGCTCTACTGTGATGTTGCTGTAGTTTAATTAAAAAAAGATGTATTTCCTCTAGAAAGGAGCAGACCTCTTTAAAAAATGATAGTGCCTGCTGATATTGAGAAAGGTTACCGGAAAGGGTTAAGAATTGAACAACTAAATTAAATTCCTTGCAACTAATGTTGCCAATACAAATTATTCACTGATAATGGATGTGCCATAATATCCTTGCTTTTTCTTATACAATTACCATTAACTGTCAAAATATTTACATACTTGGCTTTTGTATACAGAATTCATGCTTGTAACAAAAGCACTTCTGGATCCAATGCTCTAAATACTGAAATAATAATAATAATAATCCTTGCATTTGATATAGCGCTTTTCACGTCAGGAGGACGTCCCAAAGCGCTTCACAGAACACACTGTAAAGTGAATTGACTGTATATTTGTGGGCGAACGCGGCAGCCAATTGCGCACAGCAATGGCCCACAAACAGTCGTAGATTGAAAATGACCAATTTAATTATTGTTTTTGGTTTTTTGGAGGGATTATTATTAGGCGTGTGGAGTAAGGAAACTTGCCCAAGGTTTCGCCCTCTGCCTGGAATTGAACTCAGGTCTCTCACTTGCAAAGTGAGTGCTCTAACCACTGAGCTACAGGACTCCACAAATATTCCTTTGGAAGGCCATAATTTCTAGTTATAATAATATAATAAATCTTACATTGATTTAGCGCCTTATCACATCTTCGAGTTGTCTCAAAGCACTTCACGGAATATACTGTAAAGTGAATTGACTATTTTGTGGGCGAAATGCAGCAGCCAATTGCATACAGCAATGTCCCACAAACAGTGGTGGATTGAAGTGACCAATTTATTAATATATTCTTTTGAAGGAGTTATTACCCCTACAAAAGCGATCCACTAATCGACTAACAACCAATTCCTACTTACTGATAGGTAAACTTGCCTAACATTTCGCCTTGCTGGGAATCGAACCCAGCTTGTGAGGTGAGTGGTTTACTCTCTACTTTCAAACTGCTACCCCATCTGCAACCTCCCTTTCCTCTCCAACATCCTGGAACAAGTTGTTGCTTCCCAGCTTCGCTCCTTCCTCTCCCGCCACTCCCTTCACGAACCCCTCCAATCAGATTTCCGTGCCCCACACAGCACAGAAACCGCCCTGGTCAAAGTGACAAATGACATCCTATCCATCTGTTACCAGGGCTCCCTCTGCCTCCTTGTCCTCCTTGACCTCTCTGTTGCCTTCAACACTGTTGACCACTCTATCCTCCTCCATCGCCTCTCCTCTCACCTCAGCCTTCATGGATCTGTCCTTGACTGATTCAGGTCGTACCTCTCATACCGCCTCCACTTCATCTCAACAAAGATTTCTCCTTTAGCCCCTGCACCGTCTCGTGCAGGGTTCCTCAGGGCTCTGACCTTGGTCCCCTCTTCTTCAACATCTATATGCTCCCTCTTGGTGACATCATCCGCAGAAATGTGGTTAACTTCCACATGGGTGCAGATGACACCCAACTGTACCTCTCTGCCTCCACCCTTGCTGCCTAGGACCACTGCTGTCCTGACAGAATATCTTTCAGACATCAAGTCCTGGATGACTCGTAATTTTCTTCAATTGAATGTCAACAAGACCAAGGTTCTCCTGATTGGCTCCAGTCAGCACCTCCATACCTGAGGTAGAAAATATTAACATATTATAAGGGAATAGAGGGGTATAGGAAAGGGGAATAGCAGGGCTCATGTGGAACTCAACACCGGCACAGAGTAGTAGGACCCAATGGCCTGTTTCTGTGCCAATATCACTCTTTGAAACTCCACGTAATTATGTAAAATGCTTTCTTATAAGTTACATCACACCAGTTCTAGCCAGGCTCCACTGGCTCCCTATTGCTGAACAGATCGATTTCAAGATCCTCACACTTGTTTACAAATCCCTTTGTGCCCTGGTGCCTCCTTTCCTCTCCGATCTGCTTACCCAACAAGCTGCTGCCTCCACTCGACTGTCTCTGGCCTTCTGCATGTCCCTCGTGCCCTACATTCCACCATTGGTAGCCTCGCTCTCAACCACTACTCCCCGAAACTCTGGAACACTCTTCCTCTATCTCTCCGCCTTGCTCCTTCCATCCCCATCCCCAGGTCATGCCTGAAGACCTTCCTATTCGACTGTGCCTACAGTCACCCGACCTTCCCCCCCCCCCCCCCCACCTGCCACTGTCAAGCACTCTGGGACGCTGCCCTGTGTGAGGGGCACTATATTTGGAGTCCTGTAGTTCAGTGGTTAGAGCACTCACTTTGCAAGTGAGAGACCTGAGTTCAATTCCAGGCAGGGCAAAACCTTGGGCAAGTTTCCTTACTCCACACGCCTAATAATAATCCCTCCAAAACAAAAACAATAATAAATTGGTCATTTTCAATCTATGACTGTTTGTGGGACATTGCTGTGCGCAATTGGCTGCCGCGTTCGCCCACAAATATACAGTCAATTCACTTTACAGTGTGTTCTGTGAAGCGCTTTGGGACGTCCTTCCGATCTGAAAAGCGCTATATCAAATGCAAGGATTATTATTATTATTATATAAATGCAAGTTGTAGACCACTAAAGTGAGTGTTGTTTTTCAGGAACAGAGTTTGGCTTTCTACAGTTTTATTGTTTGTTTGAAAGTTGCACAACAGGATGAGGCAAATTGTGTTCATGTGAATCATAACATCATTTGATATCCCTGGCCACATCCCAACTGTCTTTCCTCTTTTTGCAAACAAAGAACAGTTTGTCAAAATACTCTTTCATGAAGATTTGCTCTTTGCCCAGTTACAATCCACAGTGATACTTTTTTTCACTATAGCATTTAGTATAGTTTGTAGTTTCATTGAAGAATTAATACCTTCAATGAAATACTCAGAGGATATACATTTTCTTGTACAGAAAATAGTTTATGGAAAGGCTAAAAGAAACCTTTTCACAGAGT